TTAGCCTACAAATAATAAGTGACACCTGTGTAACCTCCATGTTTTATATACATGCTTATTACAGCAGGAAAGCCAACCAGAGAGCGGGCTAGTGGGAGTTTTTGGCGGAGAGTGTTGGCTTTGAAGGATGCTTCCCTTCGGGTTCAATCTAGTTAGAATGAGATGTACAGCACCCCCACTACCTGCATCTGCATTGAAACTGCAGAGGGGATAAGAGAGGTGAAATATGATCAGTGTTAGATGTTATGGTGAGGAGCTCTACAGAAAAGTGAGAGAGACCCAGAGTAAGGAAGAGATCACATCTGAGAATCTCATATTAGTTTTAATCATTTTACAGTTTTTCAAAAAATGTAATGCACTGAAAAACAAAGAACCCAGAAACCCAGGGTGTGTGAGGTTCTTAGATACTAGTGATTATAGCCATAACGGTAGACAGATTAAAAGACTTTCCCCCTAATTTAATCAAAATCCTGCCTTCTACCTGACATCAGAACTTTATAAAGTCCGGATTATAAATGTGAAAACCTTCAGAATACATTTTAATCAGAGTTTTTGGAGATTTAGTCTTCTAATGTTAATGGTAGCTTCCTGGGTAGTGTTTTGTAGTGACAACAGAAGTTATTCAATCTCAATTTTTAAGACCCCCCCCCCAAAATCAGAATGAAGCAGGGTTGCTTTTCAAATGGACCTCAATTTCAGATCTGCCGGCTGTTATTTTGATTTGTCCCTTTCATCAGCTCCCAAATTCCAGCATACTGTATTTCAATTATTTCACCCTTGTTTAATTCCCATTATTTCCTGGAGGTTCCAATTAACACCACTGGGACAGGCCTGGCCGAAAGAGGCATCACACGCTGACCAAGCCTAGGAGTGCGGTGTATCAGTGGTTCCTGAACTAACACCAGAGGGCAGGCAAACAATGCAAGAAAGAAACTGAAGCAAACAAGGGATCCTGCTGCTTCTATACAGTTTACCATTGTGGAGTCATGATATCATCGTCATGCTGGGAGTTTATCGCTAACACAAATTGCCACAGGAAGCATTTTGTCAAAATTTCAATATCAGCGCAGTCACAGCATATATAGTGAGCAGCTTTATTTACTTAGGAGATAACGTTAATTGAGTAGAATGTTAAATTAGGGTAACAGTCTCCAGCTTCTGTATAAATGCTTAAAGGAAGCCAACACATCTCTGGGAGCTCAACATCAAAGGGAATACATTTCACAGTGTATTCATTTTTTAAGCAACCCATAACATAAGAAATATAATGAATCCAGGAAGAGCTCTGGACACCCTAATTGTGTCTTAGCACTTATGCAGATCTTTCCATTTTCCAAATACTAATTTATTAGGGGCAAAATTGTACCTATTTTGCATAGCCCTGAGCAGTACTAAAGTACCCCATGCTAGAGGGACCACAGGTGACATTTGACCTTGAGGGGTAGTGACTCCAGCATCCAAGGAGCACTCAAAAGGTAACACGCTTAAGTCATGCAGCATACCTCACCTCCTATCCCCCGACATGCCTAGCAAGCTTTACTGGCTGGCATATAGGCAGGAAGGAATCATGGCTCCAACTACATCTCATCCCCTCTTTTGGGTTCTCTACTACATAGTGGAGGGTCTTGGTACTAGCACTGTGCTCCCTTGATCAGAGGGTATGCAAATCTGCCCAGAACCTTATGTGGCAGCACAACACAAAGAGAGGCTCCTCTTTCAGATCTGGATTCTTGCCCCTGTCCCCCAAAGTTTAAGACTATTCATATCCAGGCTTTTGGTTTAGCCTGTTACAAGATGGGGGCCTTGTCACTTAATTTTAATTTGGATCCTGATTCAGGCCATCATTATCATCAAGGCAGCTCCCAAAGGGATGTAGTCTCCTTGCAGATCAATCACCACTGGGATCAATCTCTAGCTAGGTCCTTAGGACAATCTGGCTGAATGTTCAGTCTATGTCCATCATTGGCCATCTCACTGCACTACCAAATCTTTTGGTGACTATGTGCTGAGCAGCAGCATTCCTTGGTAAACAGGCTTTGTAATTTGTTGGTCTTCCTCCTATTATGTCCATACCAGAAAAGCCGACGAAATTGAACTTGTGCTGATGGAGATCCATTGCTGACCGTGTCCTACCACTTAATATGGAGCTGAAATGGGCAAGAGTTTCTCTGCCACGGAGGAAAAAATGCCCAATGAAAACTTGTGAAAGGCCATTCCCGTATCCTGATTGTTGGCGGAATATGTAAAATTGGTGCCTGGAATGTTCAAACTTTGTCCGAAACAGCTAAGCCGCTCTCATCAAGCTGTTGAAAAGTCTGATTGTTGATATCTGTGCCTTATCTGAAGCACACTGCCCAGAACCAATGAAAAAAGAGTTGAGGACTATACGTTTTTGTTCTCATACTGCCCTCAGGGGTTGCTTGAGCAGAATGGCTATCGTACTTTCACCCAGTGCCCAAACAGGAACTGCAGCTGTGGCAGATAACTAATGAGCAATTTATCCTGACTGGGATACTAAATACTAAATCCCCAAATTTAAAAGATGTTCAGATCTGGGATTGTTCCATCTCAGTAAAGACAAAAGATTCCAGTATTAAAAATACTCAATATAAATAGATATAATGTAAACATGCACTACTGTATAATTAAAGTAAATTATTGTAATCACTTTGAGACCACTTTCCCTACTCAACCCTTGTTCAGGAAAACTCTTACTGATGTCTACTGACAAAAGATTGAGTAAGGAGGCCCTTAGTATTTGACCCTAACTTTTTATGGAACCATTCTCTCATAGCTGTTATCAGGTGTTTAAAGGAAGTAGCTGCAGACTTACGGGAAGGGTTATGGAAAGTATCAGTTTATCTTTAAATCTTGCAACATTTAAAATTCTTTCAGATGTGGACATCCAAAATAGTGCTACAGATCAGTGCTGACAGGATCACTGACACACACACTTCCTTCCTTGTGAATCTCAGTTCAGGCATGTGATGGCTAATACGCAAAAAAAATGATCCCTCTATCAGGGCAGAAGTTTTAGCACATTCATCTTTCCTGGGCATGGCAGGCGTTTCAGAAGAGTAATTCCAATTATATAGACCTGTGACAGTTTCTGTTTTTGTGGGCACTGTTTTATGCCTATGAGTAACTGCACCTGCATTTTTTAGTAATGAGCTGTGAGTGCAAGTGTTGATTAGTTCTAGCCCAAATTGTCAAATGTGGCTTCTACTTTTGGGTACCTCAAATTCTGGATGGCAGTTATAGACACTTAGTGCCTGATTTCTGAATCTCACCTCCCATGTATTCCACTCAGGCCCTAGGTTAGGTATTTCAGGTTGGACAATCATAAACTGCGGTGGCATTCTAAATTAGAGTACTCAATTAAAATCTAGATCAAAATGCCTACCTGTTTGCATGTGTGTAACAGGGTGGGCTGCACTGTTATGAACCAGGGGGCCTGCTCGTGCCCCTTATGAGGCAGGGGTCGGGTGTTCCCTACAAAAGGCTGAGACAGCTCAGTTGGAAGAGGAGCTGTAGAAAGGAAGTAGGTTTCTGTGGCTGGGCCAGGAACAGGAGATAGAAAAGCGAAGGGAAAGGCCTTGGGACTCCTGCAGCCTGAGTTGATCAGAGGAATAGTATTGTTTTGTGTTACTCTGTGAGTTTTGTGTTTGAATTAATAAACTGTGCCCTGCAGCATGGGCCTGAAAGAGACTTTGGGCATGGCATTAGTCCTTCCTGGGTTGGGCAGACAAGCAGCTTATAATGTGCTAGTATTTATCACAGATGTCTAATTACTATTGGTGCCTGCAGATAGCTGAGAAAAAGAGGGGGGGGGGGGGTAAAGGAGAAATGGGGGATGACAAGAACACATAGGAGTGAGAGATGGACTGAAAAGAAGAGCAAAAATTAGATAGTGAATTACTGCCTGAGACAGAGGCAACCTCAGGCCATAAAATATGTCCTTGCTTTACTCTGTCATATAATCAGTTTCTCACAGCAATGTGTGATTGTGTAGGATCATGGATAGGAAGGGAAAAGGCCCATAAGACAATCTCGATTAAGATGTGGACTACTCTACAAAGTTTGAGAACTTCTGTTCTAGTGCTCCGTCCAGTCTATATTTATATGTCTCCATCTACACAGGGCTTCCGTTGCTCTCCTCTCATCCCCAACGTGGAACTGTCACTCTTAGCTACACGTGGTTAGGCTGGTCCAAAATGTTCCAATTCAATATTTTATTTTATTTTTAAATGGGGGAAATTTGTCATAAAAATGATCCTTTTTTTGGTCAACTAGAGAGTAGGTCAACCTTTTTTTCAATATTTGAAATATTCATTAAATTATAAATTTTGAAATTTAAAAAAGGTGGGGTGGGTTGTTTTTTTTCCCAATTTTCCACCCTTTTCCTCCTCAGGGTCTAGCAGGTTACTACTGGAAAGTATTTCCTGATTTAAGCTTTACTTTTTCCTCCCATCAATCAGTTTTTCACCAGAATAGCTTAAATTTTGCAACAACTAATTACTTATGTTACTTTAAAACAACTTATATTAATGACAGACTCGAAATCAATGGTCACATCTAAGGGAACAGAATTTCATCAAAACCAAAGACTGTAAGGTATAGCAAAACACAGAAACACAAGATTTAAACAAAATGTATCATTATCACTTAATAGTCATCAGAGAAAAGTCCTCTGCTATTTATGAAGTGTTGATGTCTCAGAGAGGATCTCCACCTACACATGGAAATATAGCCAGGAGGAGCCCAGAATGGGAGAGAACAATCAGGAAATAGACAGTCTGGGTACAATGTTATCTCAGAGAAACGGAAGAGTTATATATAAAAAGGGGTAGGTAGAAGTCTGAGCTGTCAACATGAGGAGGGTTGAGAGGATAATTTAAAACATCCTGAAAGGAAAATACAAGTTACTCATTCAGAAAAATAAAATATGGGACAATGGTCATTGAGTAAAAATAGAAGTATATAATTAAAGAGACACTTACTGTACCAGGCCGGGGGTACGGGATACGTCCTTCGTATTGTACCCATCGATGATCCACACTTTCTTTGTGAGCGTAAGGGCCATTGAAAACAGCTCTGATATCAGCCATGCTGTACACACAAACTGCAGAGCCCTTGAATACAGAGCTGAAAGAAATGAAGAATGTTTATAAGCACATTTTAAAATCTTCAGTATAGGCCTGATCCAAAGCCCACTGAAGACAGTTAAAAGACTTCCCCTGATTCTGATGGACTTTGGATCAAGTCCTATACCTGAGAATTATTATAACTGAGGGTGGTGCTAATTATGTACGGTATAGATTACTGCTTTGGCCTGAAAACTCATACTTAATATAACTGTGAATTAGAGTTTAAAACTTTGGTCTACTGGAGACTAGGTTTATTAACCTTTTGGCCATCCTGAAAAAAACATCTTTTATCTTGGTGGGTGAAGGGATCCAGAGACCTCTTATTCCTTATTATGATTAGGACTTTGGGGTGTGAATTTTAGAGATTAAAGGCCAGCCCATTACATTCAGTTTGTATTTGACATTCTGTATTTTAATTCTTGTTCAGGCAACCAGAGTATTAGAGAGGCATGTGGTAGGAGCATTGTAAACCAAAAATAAATAAATAAATAGTTGTGTGTCTTTTCTAACAAAGACAGTTGAATTATCTAACCAAAACCAAGCCGTAGGCAAACGTGTTAATCTTACACTTTGTGTGACAAAATGGACATCCATTCACTTCTGTATAGCTTCAGTGGCTATGTAATATTTTAGGGCAAGATCCTGTAATTCAGTTCAATTTTTGTCAGTTTGTTTACTGAATTGTATGAAGGTTCCAAGAGGCTTTGTTGCATATGGCACGGATCCTATCATTATTGTATTCAGGGGCGGCTCTAGCTTTTTTGCCACCCCAAGCACGGCAGGCAGGCTGCCTTCGGCGGCTTGCCTGTGGGAGGTCCGCCGGTCCTGCGCCTTCGGCGTACCCGCCGCCGAACTGCCAC